TACTTCTGGCTTCGACAAACGAATCAAGCGAAGTCAAAAGAGGAACAGCGACGGATTGGAGCTTGGCGTTAGAGTCATAGAGGGATGACTTGAGAGTATCGACATCGGACAGGAGAGATCGGAGGTCATCAACGGCCATGATAAAGTCTTGATAGTGGGCGCGACAGACGTCTTCAATCTCCGACTCCTTGTATCGACGGAATTGCTCGAGGTGGCGGAGGAGGATCTCCGGCTTGCCGGAGACAAAAGCCTTGCGGATAAAGGGACCAAGGTCCTCGCCGTTGCAGATGGTGGCGGAAAGAAGGAGCTGATCCTGCTTGTCCCCGGTATCACCGTTCTCCGTGGCCGCCGGAACCACCTTCCGGCGCATCTTCGTTGAGCTCATGGCTACGATTTTGATTATTTTTTCAGTATTGGTTTTTGCTTTTCTGACAGTTACCGCTGAAGCAACGGAGGTGATTTAGAGGAGAAAGAGTGTTTGGCTAAACATAAAAGTGCTTATAAGTAAATAAGAAGGTCCTGAAATAATTATTTTTTTATTAAAAAAATGAAATCAAATAACTAATTTGCCCATTTGGTACACAATAAAACGAAAGAATGCATTTTCTTGAAGTGATATGACGGAAAATATGTGGTTAAAAAAGAAAGAAAAATTATCGATGTGATGGAAAATATTATTTTATTGAAGAATGTGTGGTTAAAAATGAGTAGAAGAATGAGAATGAAAAAAATAATGTATCGGAAGGCACATAATTACTTATTTTAATAGTTAAAGAGCTTATTTTACGTTCTCTCAAAGGCACATGATTGCAGAAGCTAACCTCAACCAGTTAATAGTTATTGTATCATCGTTTCTCGACTCATTAATAAAAGCAGAAAAAGTTATGCTACATTACTAGATTGATTCTATCGGAATCGTGTTAGATTAACACTTGACAGCATTTCATTGATAGTTGGGCCAAATTCATTACAATCATCCAATCACAAATTGACAACTCATTATGACAATCTAATTTTGGCAAAATAATGTGTACAAATGGCATAACTATTTTTTACTTATTCTGTCATTAGAGCTAGAATTACCTGATTTTTTTATTCAGAAATTCACAAAAAAGCATAATTTATAATTGAAAACAAAAAGTAACATTTTATTTACCTTTAAGCTTAGCCAACACGTAAGGATTTTTCTCTTGACTAAAATGCCACTAGGATTAAACGTAATAACTTCTTTTATAAAAAGAAATAAGAAGGATAATAGGAATAGAACAAGGGTATTTGGGTAACATCATCAGCGGAATTGTGTCTAAAAGGGTTGTTTGTTAATACCTTTCCCAGACCTTATTAATTTCCCCCTTTCATTTTTCCATTCATAAAAGGATTAAAAATAAAAAGTGAAAGAAACTATTTGTGAAGTATGGTTAGAACTTGATTAGCAAGTTGGTTTAAATGAGGGACGGAAGCAGAAAATGATGTTAGGAAGGGCTAGAATTTAAAAAATTTCGAATGAACTCACGCTACAAAAAATCGAGTTTCAGATGCTATTCTCGTGACATTCACGATAAAGAGTACACGGAACTCAGTGAAATTAAAAAAAAAAAAAGTTTAGATATCTCACATTAAGATGCTCCACTAAATCTTTGTATTATTTTTACTAAAATAGAAAATTGATGCTTTCCTTAAAAATATAAAATGACCGAATCATAATAGAAATAAGCAAAAACACATATGCACCAACGAAAATTTAAAAAAAAATACTTAATGAGTACTTTTTTGGTAACTTTGACATCCAATCTTTCCAAACAACTGAAAGCTTCATCGAAACACACAATCGATAATATATCACTATAATTAATATGTCTCGAAATATTATTTGATGTGTTTATCGATCTTTTATATCACCACATTTTAAAGTGAGAGAAGAATCTCAACCAAAGTGAGAAAAATCAACTAAAAATTTCGAGGGTCAAATAAATTAAATTTAACTCATGTCTATTTTTGGCTCGATTTTAAGAATATANATCATAAGTAAATTTAATCAAACTTGCATTAAATAAAATGCTTAAATAGACAATAAAATATTCACGTTTCATGAATGTCATGAAAAGAGTAATTAATAATCGTAACGTCTATAATACAATTTGAATAATTGAGCATTGGACTTGGGTTGAGATTCAAATTAGAGCTGGGCTAATGCTAATTTGTAGGCCAAAATTCTACAATTTCTTCTTAATAATTTTATAGACTAGGGGACAATTATTTTGGACCAAAATTCTACAAATTGTACTTAATGTTTTTATATGGGCTGGGGGGGACAGCGCTGGGTACAGCCTTGCACCGCCTCCACTACCTTCGCCCCTGTTTAAATGTCATATATTTGAACTCTGTAGGAAATAGATAAGTGCAATTATGCTTATGATCAAACTATAAGAAGAAGAAGAAGAAGAAGAAGAAGAAAAATGACTATAAATCCTAATTGAATTTAAAAGTTCGGCTTCCTTGCAAGTTGTAAGATGGTCAAGCTCGTGGCTCGATAGATATTCGAGCTTGTTGACCTCAAAAAATGTACCAATGATGTGGCCAACAAATCTCAAGACCTCTCACGTCCACGTAAGCTGAGTTCCGGCACACTTGGACAAATCGTTAGTTACACGTGGCCTTCTCCGACGGCCAAGTCAACTAGAGGAATGATTTAGGGTGTAGGATAACTTTGAACGTGAGCCTCCAATCAATCAAAAAAGGGGTTAGCTTGTGAGTAGATAGCTAAAAATGTATGTAGCAAGAATATAGCTTTAATAGTCTAAACTTGCATTACCCTGAATAGTACTAAGTGTGAACTTTTATACTTGAGTAAAACAAACGAGGCCCGTCGGATGATAGGATACGCCGCCTCATCAGGTTGATTGGTCGTTCTTGTCGTATACGTCAATCAATCAAGGCATTAAATCCTTGAGCCATTTTCGTATCAATGAGTCCTAGTTTGGCAGTCTAGATTTGACCGTATAGGTTTGTAGAGTTGGCGGTGACAGTGAATTGTCTTGTCAGTCATTCGCCACAAGATCTGTTTAAAGATCTTTCACCTAAACATACTTCAAAGTGAAGGTCACATAGTGACATGTCATTTTAGCTATCTTTACTAAATGCTGTGAATGGAAGACACGTAAATTTAAAGCACACGACCAAAATTGTCACTATGTAAATGCTACCTCAATAACCATTCTTTGCTAATGGGGAAGTGAGCTCGAGCTTAAACGTGCTATAGAAGAAAGATGATCTTCTTTCAAAGTTAGGAGTAGAAACAAGCCTCAACGCTCATGGAAACTTGAGGCTTAGAAGTTGAAGAATGAGTATGCTATTTGTATATCATTGTGTACATAATGGTGTACATATAGACAACATGAAAGAGAGAGAAATATTATGATAATTGAATTTCTTTTATTTCCTTCCTTTTTTCTGACTCTCTCTTTCATATCATCTATTTGTACACCATTATGTAAAGTAGCATTGCTCGTCGAAGAATACCATTGATAAGAATTGCTACACAACGTACACATTCGTACCAAGAGGAAAAATCAAACATCACAATAGAAGTCCAAAACTCACGATTGTTAGAAGGTGGGTGGTCTTCATTCTTAGACAAAAAGTAGAAATGAACTCAGTTCAAGTCCTTGACGGTTTAAGTGTAACATTAATGTATGAGACAAGTGATGCCTCACACATATATCCTCCACAATGAAAGGCAAATCAAGCTTGACAATTGAGGTGTGAACTTGCAGTCCTTTGAAATGAAGAGATCTTCCATCTTCCTCCTATAATGGAATGAAAGAGTGGAATGAGATTATAATCGGTCAAGCCCACGATTCTTATAAGTATGAGATCCTCTCTCCATGGTAAGGGAATAGCAAGGTAAATCGCTACCTCATAAGCTAGGTGATTAGAGAATAATCTATGAGGTAAAAGTTACTGCAGCTAAATCATCTGATTATCAAATCTAAACAAAGCTTTGTTGACATCAAAAAATAACAAGGTCGATTTTTGTTAACTTAATAATTTGTAAGATGTATATTGTTGAAATATTAAAAGAGAAGAATTTTTTGTATTGATTTGAGTAATTTGAAAGTGTGTAAAGATAGTGCATTTAACTCGGTCAATGGAAGGACCGTTGCATTCCTTATTAAATGCTAGTTTTTCAATTTTAATCCGATTTTAATCTCTACCAAACAAGTTCCAAGAGCCTTCAAAAGGTCCATGAGCCGTGGAAGCCTTTGTGTCCCTGAAGCAAATCACACGTTTAAGATCAATTACCATGTAAAATGATCGGCAAATTACAAGCATAAAATCACCAGCTACCACACAACAACTTCAAAAGGAGTCAATTTGAATATCGACTAAAAAGTAATAAGATTCCCAGCCAACAACAAACTAGTCCAGGTGAAGGTTTTTGATGTTGTAATCAAAATGAACAAGAACCACCTTTGTGTTTTGAACGATTTTACCATAAGAGGTTACCAATTACCGTAAATGCACATGCTGAGCCATACCAAGTATATGATTTATGAGTGCATAGAGTATCTGGTTAAATTTGCTTCACTGAAGGGTTCAAATAAAAAGTTCATAGCTAGCTCTAAATGTGCCAAAATACACTACAAAACACTACGTGTTGCACAATTTTTCCCAGGGATAGGATTTTTTTTCCCTCTATTTTGCACCAATAGACTTTTGTTCAGGCCAGCTCAAGATCAGCAATGTAGCAATCCTTTACAGACAACCAGCAAAAGTATCCACGTAATTAGAAGGCAAGTGAATTTGAAGGATTCTACGTCGAAATTAAAAATGCTCTCAACTTCTACCCATTCCAGAATTATCACATTGCAAATGTGATAACAGATGAAATACTTAGCGTAGAACGTTTAAGATCCTTAGCAGTTAGCATACGACAGTTTTCATAAGATAATATATCATCAGGATGCTACAGTAAACCATTGGTTGTAGGACAACAAATCAGTAATAAAGCATATGAAATGTTTTTCAACCACATAAAAACTCAATCCGTGCAATTGATTCCAAAATGGAAAAATTGTATCCCCTTAAAAGCGGCCATTTATAGAAAAAAAAGTATAGATTAAGATGATTGAATGAATCCAAAACTCTTTTCCATCCATGAAAATCCAACAGACCTCCAAGCCCAGGAATAATCCCAAATTGAAGTTTAGGAAGGCCTAGTTTTACAGAGGAAGTAGATATATGAGCATGGCTGGCCTGAAAATTAAGAACAGTAATGAAGTGTTGCGAGTGCAACCCATAAAAAAAGTATAGACAGAAGGATAAAGAAAGCTATTTCTAAACCAAATTATTACTCGTAAAAGAGCAATTTCTAGGCCCCTACCAAAAGCAGGGCCATCAATGGTGGCTACCGAAGGCTTTCTTGCAGCCACAATCGATAAATAATGGTGAAAATGATAATTATAAATCTACCGAACAAACATAAAAAGTGGTCTTGAAAGAGCTTGTTCTAACATGCTTATGTTTATTAGTAGCTGGTTTCAAAGCAGATAGGAGGATTGAGTGTCAAAATAGATTGGGAGTTGGCAATATGATCTACGACATGAATGTATTTTCTTTTAGACATTTTGTTTGACTTCTCTTGATAGGAAGCGTTGCATTGGACCCCCCATGTAATGAAAAGTGAGCAAGGGTTAGTTAACATGTAATCGATAAGTGACGCCACAAATCAATGGGCACATATTGTTGGAATTGTGACATTTTGTTGTCACACAAATTAG